AAAGCGTCTCAGCTACATATCAGTAAGTTGATGTTTTATTGTGATGCAGGAAGGAACAGTCAGAAATTGATGTATCCTCAGGATTTTATGTCCTCTTTGGCTCAGGTAAATCCGATTTCTTGTTGCTAATTAATTTACTTCGTCAAGGAAAAATAAGCTCATACACTTATGTATTGTTATGTTGTTTACTTGTCCTGGTGATCAGCTCTCACATTCTCTTTCGTACTCTCAATCTACGTCTTACAATCTTCACGAGAGAAACTGGCGAGGTAAATGGCGTCCATGTCCCCTCTAGTCCGAATGTAGTCACTAAATTCTTTCTTTCGTGAACCTAATCTTGAACATATTGTTGTAGGTTTGTAAGAGAGACGGTTGTGGAAAGCAGCTCGAATGTGAATGTTGGAGAATTTGGCAAGGTGGAGTGAGTCATAAGTCAAGTATATGTATGTTGCAGTTGTTGTAGATGCTTGGAAATTGATCTTCCAAGTCTCTCTATCTAGGATTAAACTCATCACTGGTTACCAAAAAAAAAAAAAGAAGATTTTTACCTCTAGGAAAGTGAGATTTCATCAACACATTATTTTTTAGACCAAAAACCCGTAAAACGAAAAAGTAAATGAAAATATGTAAAATTCGTATTAGAGAATAGAGACCGTGTTTTGGATCCGAGATGCGTCAACAGCATCCACGAAACATTCTTGAAACTACAATGTTCAAATGAGACGACATTTATTCATTAATTCTACGAAAGATATTAATTCACCGAAAGAGTTGGTTTATGAAGACGAAAAATATCGTCGCATTTTATGGTAAAATGAAAATTTGAAAGAGATGTCAAGTGTTCTTTAATCTAAAAAGTTTTGAGTTTTGTTTTTCTTCTGTACTATATAAAAGACAATTAATCGTTTTACTAAAGCAATAAAACGAAGTTTCGTTTCTATGACTTTCTTATTTGCATCAACATAATATACGTATTTTTTTTGTTGGTCAACGCATCAATCTAAATTTTTGAATTTAAAATTTCGCCTCCAGTTTTGTTGGCTTGCTCTCCATCTAAAGTTCTTAGAGGGATTCTAAGAAAATTATATTAAATAAAATATAAAAAATATGAGGAGGAATTTTCAAAATAGAAGAGAAGAAATCTGAAATGAGAAATTTTAGATACTTTTTTTTTTCTAAGAATCCTTTTAATATTTAAGTATTATTTTTTAGATCTAAATTATTAAGAATCTCTTGAGAGAAGTGGTCTAAATCATCTTTTTCAGTTTTGCTTTGATGCCCTAATTCTAATACCACCAGCGTTGACAAGTCGGTGAGGTGGGACATATATGTAGAGCATTGGTCCTTTAGGAAAAACTTTGTACATATACAAAAATGAACTACACTTGTTATTTATATTTTATACATATGTTTGACAAAAAGGAGAACAAAGCGGATCGTACGGAATATTTGGCTAACTTTGATTAATTAAACTACAGAAACCAAAGATGAGATCAGAGAAACATAAATAGGAAACAATGCATTAAATGAAACCAACCACCAACTAACCTCACACCTTCGTCTCTCATGCATTCGCGCTCTTAGCAGTTTTTCTATATAAACCCAAACTCCATTAGCATTCTTCATAATCCAATTAATATTCAATATTACTTATATTAAGCAAAAAAAAATCTAGAAAGCAGAAAAAATGGAGGGGCTCTCAAAGTTGTCTACGATGGTGATTGTGTGCATGTTAGTGGTCGCTCCAATGGCGTCCGAGGCAGCAATCTCGTGCAGTGCAGTCACAAACAACCTGAGTCAATGCATTGGCTACCTTTTTCGAGGTGGTTTCATTCCTCGAGCATGCTGTTTCGGCGTTCAGAGGCTCAACAACATGGCTCGGACCACCCGCGACCGCCAACAAGCATGCCGTTGCATCCAGGAATCAGCTAGAGCCTTGGGTTCTAGACTTAACCCAGGCCGTGCTGCTGGTCTCCCTCGTGCTTGCCATGTTAGGATCTCTTACCCTATCAGCGCTAGAACCAACTGTAACAAGTAATCTTCTCTAACTCTATTTATTTATTATTTCATTTTAGCAAAAAAAAAAAAAAAGCTCTATGTATTTCGGTTTACACTTTTACTTGAGGTTGTAATATAAATCACTTGGATCTTAATGGAGTGTTATATATATTGACCATATAATGTGTTTGGTTGCAGCGTTAGGTGAGCATGGAGGATAGACGTTGAAGAGTTTTCATATAGTCGATGAGAGAGAGTACTAAAAACAAATAAGATGTCACTCACTATAATAAGAGTGTATCCTCCTTTTGCTGTTATGTGTTGTTTTTTTTTAGAATTTGTGATTTCATGTCTTTCGTTATATATAACGGACCATTTAATTGGTCGTTTGTGTTATTTATTTCTCTAATGATATATGCAATTACGATATGTACTGTTTCAATTTCTTGCCATTCATTTTGCGACGTTGTGCTTTCTAATGCATCGTTTCCTCTTCTTATGCGCCGGATAATAAAGATGGAGACTCTTCTATAAACCAATTATTATCAGTTGACGAAAGTAGGAGTAAAAAGATACTATAATTTATGATCAGTCTTACGATAGTCAAATGAATTGATTACTATATATATGATTAAAGATGAAAAAACTCATATATAGTTCGATACATGAAACATTGTATAATAGTAAGTGTTGTAAAATACGCTATACGCTAACTGAACAATAGATCATTGCACAGTGTGTAGATGTATTTGTGAG